GTTTGCACCAATTCTCATAGTTGTCAACTTTCAGAATTGGTAGCGTTGCTGGATAGTTTGCATTCCCATAACTTGTCATCGTGAATTCTTCAATCGTTCTTGATTGACACTTCCCTTGAATCGAAACAAAGCTCTTGATACCAGATATTGGAAATCCACCAAAGTCTATGATGAATTTCTACCACAATAACAATTTAATTATGAGACAAACAAAGAAAAGAAGACAAGACAAATAATTTCTGCAGAGTTTCTCTCTGCTCACAAACTGTGAAAACTTTGTTATTCACTTGCAACTGCAAATTCTGTGAATACAACTTGCTTGACTTGCTTACAAAAATAGGGGTTACTCCCTTTATTTATACCTGAGCTTACACCCTAAGCCCAAAGCCCAAAATATCTTTTTGTTACTAAGTCAAATCTAATTTATTCTAAACTTAAATCAAATCTATTTAAATCTAAAATAAATCAAATCTTTTCGACACATAGTTTCGACACATTGGATTACAATTTAACAGTTATTATGTTCCACATGGTTTATTGTTCTTTTCTGGTTGTATGTTGTTGTTTCAGGTTGTGTTGTTGACAAATAAGCATGTGGTTTCACATATTGATAATATTTATGGTGTTTGTAGGACTCAAGAAACAACAATAGAAGAAAACTTCATCTAGTTTGAGAAGTTATGAGAAAAAAATAACAAGTATGAAACTATTGTGTAAACTCTATCCACCTTATGTTTCTTTTTCATAGATTCACAAACTAGATGAACCTTAAATGGTGATGATGGTGGTGGTAGAAAACGTATAATATGAGTTGATAAAGTACATATGGTTTGTGTAGCAATGTAAAAAAAATACAAGAAGTACGAAGTCATTGTGAAAACTTCATCCACCTTGTATTTCTTTTTCATTGCTTCACAAACTAGATGAACTTCATAGGTCCACAATTATTTTCAATAAAAGGTGCATTCTATAAACAACTTAATATATTTTGTGATATTGTATGTTGTTAGTGTTTTGTTTCTAAAATGTATGTTGTTTTTATTGTGTTACATGTATTTGTTGTGTTTTTGTATGATGTTTTTGTTGACAAATATTCTCAAAACAAGAACAAAATATTTCTAACTCATAAGAAAAAAGCTTTTAGTGACTTAGAAATGTTTTGTTCTTTAAATTCTTATACAAATTGACATGTTAAGAAGTAGTATAGTTTATTATATACTATGTATATTATTTGTTTCACTAACCTTTTAATGAAAATGAAACTATTTAAATTGACATAGAAACTATAATATGAATATTAAGATGTATTTGAATGGTAAGCCTTTGTTGTTGCTTCTTAAACCTTACATATTCAAATTTTTTGTACTAGCATTTTCCTAAAAGAAATATATATGATTGGAGGAGCCCCTATATATACATCGGCGAAGTTGTTACCTATTTGGAACGAAAAGAAGGGTTTCTGATGTCCCAACAGGCCATCCGTCTTGCAGCAAACAACATGCTATTATTCAATTTCGTTATTTATTTATTTATTTCTCTAATTTAACGACCTCATGAGGGTTTCTTTGTTTGTTGGTGTTTTGAGTTCTCACGCCGATAACAAAAACCTAAACTTATTTTCTTATTAGGTAAATTGAACAGGAACAACCTGATGGTACATCAATAAAGCAAACAAGGCAATATCCATTTTTTCCAGGTTACTTAACATATACCGCCATAGTATTTTACATGTAAAACCCTAACATCTATACAATATGCAACATGCCTTATATAATGGACCTTGGAAGCACAAACAAAACTTCTGTTAATGTGAGTGGTCATTGAATGTTTTTAGTTAGTTTCTTTGTTATGTGGATTTGATGTAGTAGCAAATAGTATGCCGAAGTTAGATGTGAATTATTTATCATCTAATGCTGCTTTTTCAGGATAATCCCATTGAACCTCAACGATATTATGAACTTAGGGAGCAAGACACATTAAATTTGGTAATAGCAAGTAAGTGAAGTAGATATTAATTGTTTTTCATTATGTTCAAACAACAAATTTCTTGTCTGATTTAAAAAACATATTAGGAAAATTTGTATCTTTTGCCAGCATGTCATATTATAAAGAATGTTTAACAATTTCCACTTCCATGGGAATGTGTTAACTAACAACTGAAGAGATATATATGATAAAACTTAAATATGGTCTTTCTTAATTATACGAATGATATTTTTTTATTTCATTTTGTTAAACTTATCTTTAGCTACATTGTCTCAGCCTTCAATATGTTGTCTTTGAATTGTTTATTGATCTATTATCTTTTGGTGTAGGAAGTTGCTTCACCTTTGGGACTTCCTCATGGTTCTATAAGACATGATGGCTTGAATACTGATGTGAATGGTGTGCTACTGATAGCTGATATTTTTCTATATGGTTCTGCTCAAGATGTACAGGATTTTCCTCCATTATTAATCAAAGCATTGACTTTTGAAACTGTTGATAACAAGGAAGTGGGGGTGAACTCATTAGGGGGTTTAAAAGAAAATTTAGTTAGATGCTTGGTTGACTCAGAATTGTAAACAGTGTCACATTGTGAGAAGATGTAGTCAACAAAAGATGTTCTGGTTCTATCAAATTGAGAAAAATAAGGACATCTAGTTGCTTTGCTCTACCAATGTATTTGAAGAGTGTATTTATTCATGTTACCTTTGTTTTTGTAAAATGTAAAATAAATCTTGTCAATAAGTTACTCAGGAGTCTTTCTACCTGCTGGATGCACTGGACGGTTCCAAACCAATGACAGGATTCATGTCATTTAACAAATCGTTGTGAGTCTGTCCAAACCCCTCCTCACAACAAAAGTGCGTTATCATCTTTTTTTTGTCAAACAGAAAACACCAAAATTGAAGACTGGTTCTTTCTCATGATTCATAAATACCACCTAAGGATGTGTAGATGTATTGTTTTTTAGATAAGGAAGAATGAAGATGTTCCTTTATTGATGCTTGATTCTTTTTCCTTTAACTATGCCTCCATTAAATGCTCAAAAATTAGAAATAATTAGCTTTTGGTTCAAGCCTCTGAATAATGATATCGTATAGTAATTGGCATTGACAATGATAATGGTTGAGGTCTTGACTAGGGATGGCAAAACGGACCGCATGTCCCGCTCCATCGTGTCTTAAGCCTGCTAAAAAAAGAGCGGGAAGAGCAAGCCCGCCAATTGGAAATGGGCACAAAAATCTAGCTCGCTCCGCCAAGATGACGGATTGGTGGGCGGCGGGCTTGCCCGCCTACTTTTTTATTTTTTTTTATTTTTTAATAGATTAATAGACTTTTTTTTTTTACATTTCAATTAGATTTTTCACTTATTTTTTAAAACAAATTTTTATAAAATATCTTTTTAATAACTTTTACTTAAAAAATATTGTATATATTCATAAATAAATGTATAAAATAAAATCATCAAGAATAAAAAATATTAGAATTAACTAAAAAGGGGTGGAGCTTTAACGAATAGGCACGACAGGCTTTGACAGTCAACAGATTTTGACGGGACGAGTTTTGGCGGACGACAGACTTTAACGAAACAGACTTTGATAAATAGAGAATCTAAAATCTCAATCCAATCCGTTATTTTTCGATAGACAACGGTCTATAACCTGTTTTACTACACTTAATTTTAACCTTCTACTAGCTCAATGTTACCCTTGTGAATTCTGATCTACATGCATTCCTTTCCTTCTTCTCTACTTATTTAGTTTGTGATCTATATTCCTCTAAAGTTCCAAGATAATCTAATGATGTGTATTTGGGGTACTGTATTAAAAAAAAAGGTTTATTAACTTTCCTGTCCTTACAGTTTTGGTGTTTGAGGAAAATTTCCAAGATGAAATCTCATTCTGATGTTTAACCCCTTTTGTAGCACCACTAAATATGCATTAATTATTGGCCAGGATATGTCAACAGGCCTGTATAGGTGTCTTCCTAATAAAGTAGGTTGCCCCTTTTTTCTTCTTCTTTTTATAGAATGTTTGAGCATTTTAAATAAGATTCTTTTTAAATTGTGAAGTACTCCACTTGAGTAGTTTTTTTATATTTTTAAATAGTATAAAATTGGCTATTTATATTATACACAGTAGATATATGCTTTTTCTCCTCACGTGAGAAATTGTGGAAAGAGTGGAAAGAACAAATATAGTGTCATTATTAGACCACTAATTACAAGAACAATTATGAAAAACTAACACCCATTGTATTTTGAGTTGCATAACATCTCTCTATCATCATTTTATTAAAACACAATTATAAAATAATTAATTATGATTTACTACATATTTATTTTTAAATAATTATAATTATTAATTATTTTATAATATTAATTATATATTAAAATAACAATTAAATCTTATCAAATGATCTTATGATATGAATTAATTTATCCATACAAACACACAAATCTTCTATTAAATGATATAAAAATATTTATTATTATTGTATAAAATTTAATAATTATTATATTAATTTATATTTTTTGATACACATTAATTTAACAATAGAATTAAAATTAAGTGAATATATTTATAAGAACTCAAACATATTATTTTTTATAAGATCAAAAATAAAATTTAATAATTTTATAGACACTAAAAATATATTTAACCCATATAACTTTTAACATTAATAAAAAGTCAATAAGAATGAGATGTTATTAAATAATAATCTTTGCAATACCTTTTCACATTCTATAATAATTAATCAAATATTTAAACGTTGCTAATGGTTTCTACTAATATTCATGTAACGTATCTCTACTCAATATTCTCGTTATTAATTAAGCAGGTTGTTGCCGAGAAGTTTCAGCCTTGTTTCTTTTTTTTCTAACATGTCATTTTCTTGTTTCTGTTTCTCTGAAATTTCAATCAAAAGACTTTGTGCAAAGATACATTAATAATAGTGGATCGGTTCTCAAAGAGACTTTTTTCCGTTTATATTCTTGAGTTTGAACTTGAAATATGGCTGAAGCTGTTATTGAAGTTGTTCTTGATAATTTGAGCTCACTCATTCAAAAAGAGATTGGCTTATTTCTTGACTTGAAGAATATGGATAAGGTGCCATCACTTATTGGTAGTCTAAAATATCTAAGGTATTTGAATCTTTCTTGGGGAAATTTCAAAACTCTTCCAAAATCGTTATGTACACTGTGGAATTTTCAGATTTTAAAGTTAGATTATTGTCGGTGGCGGAGGCAGGAAAATTATGAAGCCTGGACAAGTTTTCATTGGCTTCATAATTTTCTACCAAGACAGTACAATGCTAATCCTAAAGGAATTATTTCCTTGAATTGCAATTACCTCTTCAATTTGTAAGATTTCGGATTTTATAATATATACATGTTAAAATTTCGGATTCTATAATATATACATGTTACAGTATTTCAGTATTTCAGGTGTGCTCACAAAATGAACAAACCTATAAAAACCGAGAAAATTAGTTCAACACGCTCATTTGTGTGAAATTAAGTACTGCCTAAAAACACCGCTATCAATTAAAATTTCAAATAATGTTGTCAAATGCAGATCGGCGAAGTGGTGGTTTGTTAAAATTCCGGTATGCTACAATGTTGTAGAGTCACTATTTGAGAACACATTATACTAAGTAGCATAACAAAAAACAATAGGGATGTGATCAAATTCCTCTACACTATAGTACAATAGCTATAACTGCTATTTAACAACAATGATTCCAAGATATGCCAATCTAAGTTATCAACAAATAAAAAATTATGATAACAAGCCATACCTTTCAATAGTTCTTCTGGAAAACTATGTGGCATCGCTTTCGTGCTCAGGCACAAGAACAATTGAATAACCAACCTTCGCCATTTGATCTTGAGCAACCTTCAAGTGGCAGTGAAAGGGGTTGAACAAACCTGAAGCTATTTTCTCCTTCTTTCCATTCACAGTAATGACCAAATCAAACCTAATTTACACAAGAGCACAAAATCACTTGATCAATTAACTCACAGAGATTAATCAGTGACATAAAAATCATATCATACGTATAAACAAAATATAGTTCCTTCAGTAAGTTTTCTCATTTCTTAAACTCAATTTCTATAACTGCAAGGAGCAACTACATACATTCTCCCAATAAAACTGTACTCCTTTTTTTATCAATCTTAAATTTTTTTTCCTCAAATGATATTTTTACAGCTTAGATGAAAATTCTAAAATCACTGAACTAGAACATTTCTTAAACGAAAGTACCTCCTCTTGAGCTTCCTTGGAACATAGGTAAAAATTAATCCTCTCCGATACCTGACCATTTTCTAAAAAATGTCACTTCGCAAATGCACTTGCGAAGTCCACCAGCAAAAATTCGCAAGTGCACTTGCAAAATAAAGTCTGTTACAGAAATAGAACTTTGTTTTAACAGAATTTTTCATGTTTTTTGAACATTTTAGGTATGGTGCACCCCGATGTCATATCCCAAATTTATCCGCCTTGGTGCTACGGTCAAAATTATTTTCAAACTTGGAGTTTTATAAAATTCTCTTGGTTTACACTGATATTTTGGGGTTTTCTAAATATTCGTTTTCAAGTTAATTTAAAAATATAATAATTTATTTCAAATTATTTGTATTTTTAAATAGCAAATAATTGTTCGTCTTCATATACTTTCAATTGACTTTTTATTTCAAATAAATAAACATAGCACAATTGATAAGGAAGCATAGTTTGGAAGCATATGGTCAATAGTTCAAATCTCACTTGATGCACTTTGGGATATTTTTTTGTTTTTGTTTATTTGATACTAACTATTTCTATTTTCTAATTATTTTTAAAATCACAAAAATCATGTTTATAAATAATTTAAAAATAATTATTAATTCTGATGGATCAACTCGCTGATTAAGAAATATCTGATTTATTTTATTCTCTTTTCGCCATTTAACCTAATTTTGACCGTTTATAAATAGGACAATGTTTTCATAGTTTTAGACATCCATAATTTCACAATCATTCACAAAACTTTATTCTAGAATTGTTGATTTTATTAGACAACTGCCAAAGAAAAATACATAATCATTCACTTTCACATTTCAATTGTTGAAACCTTTTTACACACTTTTTCAAAACTGTTTTTTGGCCGAGGATTTTTATACGAGGCCCTCAGTTTTATTTTAGCTTTTTTGTTTTTTATTTTAATCTATTAAATCAATGATGATTCCGTGAGGTTGCGTTTTCAATTATATTATAGTAACAGTTTCACAATCTTCATTTCTTGCTTTTCAAAGTACTACCGTATTCAATTGAACAATTGCCACATCATTGGTCTAATTCTCGCAGCTACATCACATAAGGGAAGGAAGAACAAGAAAACGAGAGCATTGTAACCGATTCAGCTCCGGAACTCCCTTCACACCTCGATTCCGCCGCCCCAGCCACTGCTCTTCAACAACCGAGCAACACCTGCGACCACCACGTTTTCAGCAGCAAGTGGCCTCCTCCAGATCACCAGGATCGACGACGACGACCTTGTAGCATCACAACAACGATTCGATGAAACTCAAACCGCGAATCCGCAACCCATCCAACAACAACACCGTACCTCACCGGGGCGGCCGAGCCTGGGCAGCTGCCCTAGCTGGCCAGACGCTGGCTCCGCCAGTGATTATTGTTTCATCCTCCAAAGGTTGCCTTATGGATTGGTACAGTTGAAAGCTCTACAATATCTATCTTTGAAGTGTTGTGACTCACTATCAAGCTTGCCTCCACATATAAGAAAATTGGCTTCCCGAAAAACTTTAACCATGTATCTTGTTGGCAAGAAAAAAGGGTTTCTATTGGCAGAACTAGGACAAACGAACCTAGTGGGAGACCTTGTTGGTGCAAAATAATGAAAGGAGAGAAGAAGAATGAATAATGAATGATAACAAAGAGGACTACTTCATAATATTCAAATAGAGGAATGAATTGAGTTACAATATTGATAGCCTAGGTAGCATATTTATACTAAAAAAAAATGAAAATGCCAAGAGGCCCTAATAAAGAATAAGCATTGGGAATTGTAGTCATTAACTAAATTACATTTCCAATACCATCCCTTAATTTAGATATTTCATTAGAAACTAACAACACCAATTTCATCTCTCAAATGAAGAAATTGATCTGTTTTAATTGCCTTCGTCATAAGATCTGCAAGCTGTTTCTGAGTGCTACAGTACAAAATTTCTAACACTCCTTTCTGAACTTGACTTCTGAGAAAGTGATACTTCGTCTCAATGTGTTTGCTTCTTCCATGTAGCACTGTATTCTTGGCAAGATCAATTGCAGACTTATTATCAATCATCAGCTTCAGAGGTTCCTCAACTTCAACCTTCAAATCATGCAGGAGATTCAGAAGCCAAACTGCTTGACAAGCAGCTACAGCACCTGCGATATACTCAGCTTCACATGTTGACAGAGCCACGACAGACTGTTTCTTGGAACTCCAGGAAATGGGACCTCCCAGAAATTTAAGTAAGTATCCAGAGGTACTTCTCCTGTCCACTCTGTCTCCGCACCAGTCAGAATCAGAATAACTTACTAATTCTGATTTTGTCTTTCTTTCAGAAGGAAACAACACTCCATATCTCAGAGTTCCCTTAATATATCTCAGAATTCTGACATCAGCTTGGAAATGAGACCACTTGGGATTACTCATGAATCTGCTGACCAATCCAACTGCATAACAAATGTCAGGTCTAGTATTACATAAATACCTTAGAGAGCCAACCAGCTATTTGAAGGTTGTAGAATCAACATAATCACCATCAGAGTCAGAATCCAATTTTTGATTGGTTTCTGATGGTGTCACAGCAATTTTGCAGTTCTGCAGCTTAAATCTCTTCAGAAGTTCTTGTTCATATTTTAACTGGTGCAGAATGATACCCTTCTTCGAGTACAGAATCTTCATCCCTAGGAAATATATCATTTTTCCTAGATCTGTCATCTCGAACTCATTCATCAGAACTTCCTTGAACTTCTTTATATCTTCTGGGCAGCTACCTGTTAGCAAGATGTCATCAACATAGAGACACACCAGAATTATATTGCTATCAGAGTGTTGTACATAAACTCCATATTCCATCTCACACTTCTGAAACCTCTGCTGCTTGAAAAATGAATCAATTCTCAGATTTCAAGCTCTAGGCGCTTGCTTCAGTCCATACAGGGCTTTATTTAACCTGCATACCATCCCTTCCTGATTCTTTTTCACAAATCCAGAAAGTTGTGACACGTAAACTTCTTCCTGTAATGGACCGTTCAGAAATGCTGACTTCACATCAAGATGCATTAAAGGCCAATTTCTGTTTGCAGCTAAAGCAATCACCAGTCTGATTGTTTCATGCCTAGCTACAGGCGCAAACACCTCAAAATAATCTAGCTCAGGTTTCTGAAGAAAACCTCTAGCTACTAGTCTAGCTTTGTGCTTGCCAATGGAACCATCTGGCTTAAGTTTCAACTTAAAAACCCATCTGACGCTGATGGCTTTTTTCTTATCTGGAAGTTTAGTCAATTTCCAAGTTTTGTTCCTTTCTATTGCCTCAAGTTCTTCTTTCATGGCATTAAGCCATTCTTTCTTCTTGAAAGCTTCTTCAATGCCCACTGGTTCAGAATCTACTAACATGACACACTGAACGACTTCTCCTTCAGAGTCAACGTCATTATCCTGCAGCATGTCAAAATCTGCAAACCTTATGGGTTTTTGTCTGATTCTCTATGGTCTTTGAGATTGTTCTGAAACTGCACCAGAACTACTACTTTCAGAGTTACCACCTTCAGAGTTTTCCCTTTCAGAACTATGATTACCACCAGATTCTGGATCATCATCAATATCTGGATCACAATTAGATCCATTTCCATAATCTTCTTCTGACTCATCTTTAGAATCTTCAGAATCAGATTCATCTTCTGAACTTTCTAAAACATCTTCAGAGGATAACTCTGGTGTTGGCACTACACCAGAATCAGATTGAGATTTGTTCCAATCCCATGCTTCAGACTCTTTCACCACAACGTCTCTGATGACTTCAACTTTATTAGTTTCTGGATAATAAAGCTTATACGCACCTGTACTGTGGTACCCCATCAGCAACATTATTTTGCATCATCCAGTTTTTGTCTTCTAGCTTCTGGAACGTGTTTGTAACAGACATAGCCAAACACCTTCAAATGACTGACACTCTACTTATCTTCAGTCCATTTCTCTAAAAGAATAACTTCCTTCAGTTTATTCGTTGGACACCTGTTCAGAATATATACTGATGTGGCAATAGCTTCTCCCCATAGCACGCGAGGTAGCTTTTTCTCTTTCAGCATGCTTCTGGTCATATCAAGCAAAGTTCTGTTTCTTCTTTCAGCAAGACCGTTGTGCTGAGGAGTATATGGAGCAGTAACCTTATGTTCTATTCCACTCTCCTCACAAAACTTCTGAAACACTGTAGAGTTATACTCACCTCCACCATCTGTTCTCAGAATTTTTAACTTCTTACCACTCTGCTTCTCAGCCTTCACCTTGAATTTTTGAAACTCAGTAAACACTTCATGCTTGAACTTGATGAGTGTTACCCATGTAATTCTTGTAAACTCATCCACAAAAGACACAAAATAATTGTTTCCTCCAAGTGAAGGTACTGGAAATGGTCCACAAACATCAGAATGTACTACTCCCAGAGCATGTTTCGCTCCGGGGGCTACTTCTGATATAAATGGCAATCTAGATTGCTTGCCTTTCATGCATATCTCACATGACTTCTCAGGCTTCACAATCTTCGAAATACCACATACGAGCTTCTTAGAACATAAATGCCCTAAGCTTCTATAGTTCAAGTGCCCTAACCTCTTATGCCACAGCTTATTGTTACCTTCAGCGCCTTCTGCACTAAGGCACGTTGCTTCAGCTGTTTCTACATTCACCTTGAATGTTCTGTTGCCTCCTTGTTCAGGCTTCATAATTAACTTCTGATTGGAATCATACAACGTCAGGAGATTGTTTTTCATAACAACTGAGAAACCTTTCTCAATCAGCTGACCTACGCTCATCAGATTGCTTCTAATACCAGGAACATACCAAACGTCTTTGATCAGAATGTCTTTTCCATTCTTCACTCTAATTCTGACATCTCCCATACCTTCTGCATTAAGATACTTATCGTCAGCACATCTGATCTTTGTACTCCTTCTGGAGTCAAAGTCTGTCAGCCATTATTTGTTTCCAGTTAAATGATTTGAGCAGCCAGTGTCCATATACCACCAATCTTCTGAGCATTTTCCATCAGAGTTAAAAGCCATTAGCAGTACAGGTTCATCATCAGAGTTTCTCTTAGTCATATATGCTTCTTCTGATTTCATATCCCTGTTTGACCTACAATCTCTGGCAAAATGGCCAAATTGTTTACAAGAGTAATATTGAACCATCCTTTTGTCATACCTCTCCTTTCCTTTATGATACTTCTTATCATCAGAAGGTGAGGCTTCTGACTTCTAGAATCTATCACCACGTCTATTCTGCTTCTGGTCTTTCTTGACAAAAGAAGCCTTCAGAGCTTGCTCAGCTTCTCTCTCAGAAGTTCTCCCAGACAGACGTAACTCCTGTGCTTCTAAGCTGCTTTACAATTCTTCTATTCTCATGGTTTCCAGATTTTTAGAATGTTCAATAGAAACAACAATGTAATAAACTTAGGAGTAAGCGACCTCAGAATCTTCTCTATGATTACCTGTTCAGTCAGAGTTTCTCCACACGCCTTCATCTTGTTAGTGATTAGAATCACTCTAGAGATATATTCAGAAACTTTCTCACTGCTCTTCATGTTCAGGTTCTCATATTGCTTTCGTAGGGATTGAAGCTTCACCTTCTTTATTGATGCGTCACCACTGTAACATCTTGCCAGTAAATCCCACGCCCCTTTAGACGTTGTTGAATCAACAATCTTCTCGAACACACTTTCATCCACACACTGATGAATATAGAACAGAGCTTTCTGGTCCCTCTTTCTCATCATCCTCTCAGCAGTTTTCTGTTCTTCAGTTGCATCTACTGCATCTGGTACATAACCATCTGTAACCAGATCCAGAACATCTTGTGCACCAAACAGTACACACATTTGTATCATCCATCTGTTCCAGTTTTTGCCATTAAAAATTAGAAGTTTAGTGTTCAAACTACCGTCTCCACTCATTTTAAACCTTGCACGGATTTTTCAGATCTTAAAACACACTGTTTCCCAACCCACAGAATCAAATTCTGTTCAGATTTTTTGTTCAAGATTTCAACAGAAAATCAATGAACCAAAATCAAACACACAGCTCACAAACACTCGTGTTTCCCAGGAAAGACAGAATCAAAAGCTCTAGATACCAATTTGTTGGTGCAAGGTAATGAAAGGAGAGAAGAAGAATGAATAATGAATGATAATAAAGAGGACTACTTCATAATATTCAAATAGAGGAATGAATTGAATTACAATATTGATAGCCTAGGTAGCATATTTATACTAAAAAAAATGAAAGTGCCAAGAGACCCTAATAAAGAATAAGCATTGAGAATTGTAGTCATTAACTAAATTACATTTCCAATAGACCTTTCCATTAAACACTTGGAGAGAGTTAAAAGTGTTATGAATGCCAAAGAAACTAATATGTTGAGAAAGCACGTGAACACTTTGGAGTTATCATGGAAGAGAAATGAAGAGTCCCCATTGCAGGAAAATGTTGAAGAGATTCTTGAAGTGCTTCAACCTCAAACCAACAACTTCAGTGTCTGTCACTGAGAGGATATACAGGTGCCTATTTTCCACAATGGATGTCTTGTCCTTCTCTGAAATATCTTACTCATTTACATCTAGTGGATTACAAAAGTTGTTTACACCTTCCAGACTCGGGGAACCTTCCTTCTCTAAAGAATCTAATAGTATCTAACATGAGTCTGGTAAAATACATATATGAAGAGTCATACAATGGTGGAGTTGCTGAAGGTTTCCCTGCGATAGAATTTTTGAGACCATAGGATTTGCCAAACCCAGTAAGGTTATCAAGGGAGGACAGAGAAAACATGTTTCCGTGCCTTTCAACAATTCAAATTACTGAATGTCCTGTAATGTTGGAATTGCCTTTCCTTCCATCTCTCAATGATTTACGTGTACGAGGGAAATGCCGTCAACATTTACTAAGTTCAATTCATAAACATCATACTCTTGAAATCCTTTGTTTCAAAGATAATGAAGAGTTAAGTTGCTTTCCAGATGGGATGCTAAGAGACTTAACTTCTCTACTCTTGACATTTATGGCCTTTCCATATTTGAGCAGCTCCCAGATGAAGTATTACATGGATTACGCTCTCTTAAGAAATTGAGTATTGTGAGGTGCGAAAAGTTCAAGCTATCAGAAAGTTTTCAATACCTCACTTGTCTTGAGAAATTGATAATCCAAAGCTGCTCAAAAATAGAGGGTTTGCACGAGGCATTACAACATATGATTGCTCTTCAATCTTTGTCATTGAGTGATCTTCCAAACCTGGCATCCTTACCTAATGACTTGTTAGGAAACCTAGGCTTGCTTCAAGAATTAGAGATTTCTAATTGTCCAAAGCTGGTGTGTCTTCCCATGAGCATTCAACACCTTACTAGTCTGAAACAATTGGGAATCTCCGATTGTAGTGAGTTAGGGAAACGATGTAAAGAGAACACGGGTGAGGATTGGCACAAAATAGCTCACATTCAACACATTCAAGTAAAAAACCAAAGTCATGAAGCTAGAGTGATCTTCAGAGCAGGATAATATTATGCATCTAATCCATATGGTTTTCATTACAAAAATGTATTGAATAGGATTGTTTATATTGTTTGAATATTTTAATTTGATAAATTCTATAAAAGTTAGACTTGAAAAGCCCGTCTGTGTACGGTGCCATGCAATATAATGAACATGTTCTTCTATAATAATTTATTATGTTCTTGTTAGATATTTCGGTAAAATTAAATGGATCCAGGTCGGAATTGTGAATGAAGTCACTTTTTTTAAAAGTATTTGAAGTACTTTATTAATTGTCTTAGAGTTGGAAAGTAGAAATATCCAAGATAATTCAGCTTTATAATCGAGTTTGCACAAGACTGATGAAGAACTCGAATGTAAGGAAGTATGTCTCGAATATCGAATAGGATGTAAGATTTTGAGTGAATTATTTTTTGAATTCAGAATTATGTATTTATAGGCCATGCATGTCTTGTTTCATAAGTCTGCAACTCTTGATGAAACAACACTTTTTCAGCATATGTTTGCAATTGTTCACCTATAATAATACAATGCACCACTTTATGAAGGATTGTGTATTTTGAATTCGAAATTCAAACTTTCAATAGTCCGAGAAAAATTTTAAGGCAATTTCTACTGGTGGATATTTAGTGCAAAAACTGACTAAAATTTCTTTCGGACATATTTAAAGGTAACTTCCACTAGTGGATGTTTAGTTTAAAAACTAATAAAAATTTATTTCAGACAGATTTAAAGACAACTTCCACTTTTATCTATGGGGCACCTTTATTCTTTTTAATTTTGTCATATTAAAACACACCCATGGGAATTAATTGTTCATAATTTCCAACAATCTCCCACTTGTTCTAATAACGACAAAACTAATTCCAGAAAATGAGATATAAAGAGTGTTAATACAGTTAGGTATCTTTCGATTTAAAACTTAACCTTACTGAGGATAACGCAAAGTTTAATCGGGATATTAGATAACAATGCTTTTAAACCATTAATCCATATGATTAAACTAGCATTACTTGACACACACTCTTTAAAGGTTCTTTCTCTACATATCTCGCTTAACACTTATTTATGGTCATATGTTATCCTGTTTCATGAATTTTTTATGAGAGAAACTCAAACTCTCACTTTGAAACGACACCATCTCAAAGTTCACATAGGTGAAGCTCATGTTGTATCCTTTTCCATGAGATACTTTTCCTCGGATATGAACTTCGTTAAGAGTTTAAAATAAAAACTCAACCCTCATTTAAAGGTCAACATTATCACAAAATGTTCGACAATTATCCAAATCAACGACTTTTTGTTACCCATTTAATCTTGAGGTTAATGTTCTATTAACGTAAGATTGGATTGTCACCGCTGTTGGAACTCTTACTCAAGGAGTTTCAACCTCATACCTCTCAAGATTGTTTTTACTAAGTCTCTGGTCAGCGGCTTAGTAAATGGATCGGCCAAATTATAGCTTGTTCGTATATAGGTGAGTGAAATGATTTCATCCTTAATCAATTTTCTCATGAACGAATGTCTAAGCCCCATATGCCTAGTGTTGCACCCCAAAATTTGCCCTCCCATTTCTCATTGATTTCTCATCACAAAGCCCTTGAAGCTCAAGATCCAGTTAGGGTTTCATCTGCTCAAGACTTCTCCTTGCACTGTTGACCCTAATTAGGGTTTGTGTTGGCACAAAGATGTTTTGACCCAAAATGCCTAAGATGACTTTCTTGCTTCATATTGGACTCCCAAGTTTATCCTCATCAAGTTTCAAGTCTTGATTCCAAGTTTTGCCCAGTCAATTGGACAGTTGACCTGAAAATCAACTGTATTGGGGAAAAAGTCAACTGTGGCCAATTGACAGTCAAACCTCATGAAAATTGACCCACATCAACATTATGAACTCCTATGAACCATTTGATCAAGTTTGGATCACAATTCCACAAGAAATTTGATCAGATCACCAAAAGGGCAAAATGGTCATTTTTAGGGTTTTGACTGCACAAAGGCAATTTTTGACTGTTTGACCTAGCCAATGGCAAACCAAGTTCACATATGGACTCAAGGACCCCATGGAATTATCTTGACATGCTCAACAAACTCAAAAGATCCCAAGTACACAAGATTGACAGTTGAATTTCCCAGTCAATTGATCAATTTTGACTGTATACTGAAAAGTCAAACTTTGACTTTTTGGTCAAAATCAAGAGTCAAGATTCATTTTTCATCAAAACATGCCAAATCATGAAACTTGTTCACCAAGAAATCAAAAAATGCAAATTAGGGTTAGAAATGAGAATTTTTCATAACTTAGAATTTTTCTAAGTTATGAAAAACCCTAATTTTTTCCCAACTTTGCCCCACTTTCTCACCAAGATCTATTTGGATTCAAACAAAAGTCAAAACATGAAAGTTGTAGCTTGTTGCATAATCTACAACTTTGATTCACAAAGTTTTCCCAAATGAGGCTTGTATCTCAAGTTACAAATTTTTGAATAAGGGCACTAAACCATTCTTAACTTAGTGAAATTTTAACCTATTTTGACAAGGTTTTCTACCCAACTTCAAGACCATTTTCCATACACTTCCACTTGGAATTTCAATTTGCATTTCAAAGATGGATTGTAGTATACATTCCAAGCTTTCCAAAATGTCCAAGAACTCATCAAACAACCTCATAACTTGAGAGAATCGAATTTCACAATATGGCAAAAACTCACTTTTGAATTGATCATGTACATGTTCATAACTTAGGCCATTTTCAAGTCAGCATAGTTTGTGCTACATTACAGGTCCTTAAACCATCCAACACTCAATAATTTAATGCATATTCATTGTGTTAAAGTGTTGTTCTTTGAGTGCAAGCATTACATACAAGTTTAATCCATTTATGGAAAAAGCAAAATGACCATTTTTGCAAAAGTTAAGCTTTATGTCCAATTAAAAATCCAAGAGGTACAGATGAGATCTAATTGGCACAAGATTATGAGCAAAACACTCTGATCAAGGAGAGATTATGCAGCACATTAGGGGGCCTCTACTGACCTAGAACACAACTTGGGCATTTGTTGCTTAAAGTGTAAGTAACTTGGCATTTTTGAAAGACAACTCTCATATCAGCTTACAAACACTAAAGCAAACTTGTAAAACACATCCAAGATATCCCAACCAAGCTAGTACACGACCCTAACATCCCTCATACACTCCCAATCCCAGAATCACCTTCAAACTACAAGAACAGGGTAAGGCCTGCAGTTTGAGTGCCATCTTTCATTCCTCTCAAGCTTTCTTGCCCAAACCAGTTCACACACATTCCCTAGCATCAGTGCAAGCTAACCAAGACCTAAAACACGACCTGTAATTCCTCTAACTGGTTCCACCATTTTCACTTTTCTGATTTGCAGGTGAAGTGCTCTAGCACGATTCAAGAGCTTTCAAGACAAAGTAAAGCTTGGAATAGCATCCCTGGACCTCAAGGAAACTATCCCAATCATCACCTTGCATTGAAAGCTTCTCCATTGCCAGATAGAACTTCAACTGAACAGGTAAGTTTTTGAATTCGTATCTCTCTTATTAGGCATTGTTAGCTTTAGGTTTGTGAAGAGAATATGTCACAATCATTGCCCTGAACATGCCCATATAATTAGATTTTATTTATATTATGTGTGTTGCAAGAATTTTGAGTCTGAACATGGAGGAAAATCTAGGTCAGGATTTGGGGGAGAAGAAATTCTCTCTCATCTTAGAGAGTTAAGACAAGTTCTGCATATGGTTGGATTCGTCTCTTGATGCTGAACATTTTTTATGTTATGAGTTTTCATTAACAAGCCAGGAATCAGGATGTTTGAATGGAGGAACAAGGCGCGCGTTTTTTTGATACTTTCTGGCCAGAGGTTGAAGAAATGTTGTATTGGGCTGAGCTTGCTTTGTATTTCCTTTTCACACCATACAATTGCTTCTGAACCCCCTGAGCCCATTTGGTTTATTTTTAATGTTTTTTGACTTTTTCTCTTTTTAATTGATTCATTTATTTTTTCTCATGATATTAAAAATATAAAAATATTTTTTCTCACCATTTTTGAATTTATTAGGTATTTATTTGATTTTTCTTTTAGTTTGTACATAAATAAATAAATACATATACTTTTTATTTAAAATAGTGCAAATACATTTTTATGCACTTTTATTTTGTTCTACTTTCTGAAAATATTTTATAGAAAAAAATACTTTTTTATTAAAATATTAAATATTATTAATTAGTATATATAATACATATTTTGTAAATAATATAAATAAAAATATATATATATATATATATATATATATATATATATATATATATATATATATATATATATATATATATATATATATATATATATATATATATATATATATATATATATATATATATATATATATATATATATATATATATATATATATATATATATATATATATATATATATATATATATATATATATATATATATATATATATATATATATATATATATATATATATATATATATATATATATATATATATATATATATATATATATATATATATATATATATATATATATATATATATATATATATATATATATATATATATATATATATATATATATATATATATATATATATATATATATATATATATATATATATATATATATATATATATATTAGTACACCTAGAATAAAATACCAAAAATATACATATTTTTATTTTATTAATATTTAACATTAAAAAATACATTTTTACAAATATACTTCATTTTTATTTTATTCTTTGTATATAAATAGTAAATATTATATATATTAAATAATTAATACCCTTTTGATTAAAAATTAGGGTTTTACCCTAAATATGAAAATATTCCAAAAAGTAATCCCTCTTTATTTTTCTATTTATTTGACATAAATAATATTTTTTTCATACACATAAAAATTCTTTTTTTGCATCTTGCATATTTATTTCATTTCCATTTAATTTATGCCTTTA